TTTATACCGCAAAAACCCTCTACAAATGAATAAATGCTCTATTGAATTTTTTTTTAATATTAGTAATAGAATGGTAGGTATATACATAAACTATGCATATTGATGTACCAAAAAGAACAAAATTATTAAAGATTATTTTCACAATATTTTGCAGTCCTTTTCTCTCGCTTAATGTAATATGAACTCCCTATTACTCATGCAAATTAAATTACCATTGTAGAGAATTATCACTGTATTTTGCAATTTTTAATAATTGTACACAAAAGGGGCTAAAACATTTTAAATTCGCTTATTGTTTTTGGCTATGATTTGGAATTTTGCCTTGGTTTTATATTTAATTTTTTGAGCCCTAACTTAACCTTTTAGTAGAGGCACGATCCAATAAAAAAAAATACAACGTGTAATTATACAACACGCTACTGAAGTGAAACTTCTTCAAACACACAAACATACCTGGATAAGGGTTAAGGAATTGTTCTAATGGTATTATTTGTACACTATGAATTTAAATTTTACACTATACTTGTCGGAGTTGCCTGTAACGAACGTTGCATGATTTCGTTACACAGCAAGTCGCATGTCGCATGAAACGAACTTACCCTACCGTGCGTAAAGAAGTTTCACTTCAAAAAAATTCAAAGATATTTCCCTGCCTCTCACGGATTTTAAAGTAGGGATCACTCCTATTTTTTTTATAAACGGAAACATTTTTAAGGCGACTAAACAATTCAAGCCCCGTTTACGTACAATTAATAGTAGCTAAATTTTATTTCTATGGTCGGATATACCTTTGTAGACACTTTATCCAACAAACGGCTTATCGATGCAGCCATTTTAGCTACTTGGAACGTTAGTGATGGTAAAACTGGCTATGAAAACGTTTATAATTGTCACAAGAAAAATTCCAGCTACGACATAATTGTTTATAGTTTTGGCGCTTTGATGCTTTGATTTTCCTTTCAGATCCAATCTACCCTTAAATATGAGGGCCACGCCCACTCCCACTTGAAGAATCAAGGAAACGATTATAAGAAACAGGTTCACATAAAATGTGGAGCTGTGTCTGTTAAATTCGATTATATAGCGCAATTGGTTTGCGTTCGCTGTTATAAGAGCAATATCCATCATACCTGAAACAGAAATCAAAACACTTACATATAGGAAGCTGAGAAAACTGAAAACAAGAAAGATAATGTGCAGTAATATCTTAATTGGAAAGGTATGTACATAGTGGTTAAATAACATATTTTTTCCTCGATTTTTGATAAAATAAAAAAAGCATTTCATTAGCACGGTTTCTATATACCACAGTGTGCAAGATGTGACCGACCTTTTCTCTAACACAATTTATTCAGAATACAGGGTGAAAAATGCGACAACATTCCTGCAACACGGCACTTTCTTAACACTGCTCCTAGACAGCACAGTTTGAGAAATGCGGTCGACCCCTTACAACACATTTTCTTCAAGAATACAAGATAAAAAATGTTACAATATTCTTGCGACATGGTACTTTATTAACACGGCTCATACACAGCACACTTTTAGAAATGCGGCCAACCTCTGACAACACAATTTCTTCCAGAATACAGGGTAAAAAATATGATAAGATTCCTGTAACATGCCAGATTCTTCACACAGTTCCTAGACAGCACAGTTTGAGAAATGCGGCCGACCTCTTACAACACAATTTCTTCAAGAATACAAGGTAAAATGCGACAAGATTCCGGTAACACGGCACTTTCTTAACACGGCTCCTAGATAGTACAGTTTGAGAAATGCGGTCGACCCCTTACAAGACAATTTCTTCAGAATACATGGTAAAAAATGCGACAAGATTCCAGAAACACGGCACTTTCTTAACACGGTTCCTAGACAGCACAGTTTGAGAAATGCGGTCGACCCCTTACAAGACAATTTCTTCAGAATACATGGTAAAAAATGCGACAAGATTCCGATAACACGGCACTTTCTTAACACGGCTCCTAGACAGTATAGTTTGAGAAAAGCGGTCGACCCCTTACAACACAATTTCTTCGGAATAAAAGGTAAAAAATGCGACAAGATTCCTACAACACGGTACTTTCTCAACACGACTCCTAGACAGCACAGTTTGAGGAATACGGCCGACCCCTTACAAGACAATTTCTTCAGAATACATGGTAAAAAATGCGACAAGATTCCAGTAACACGGCACTTTTTTAACACGGCTCCTAGACAGTACAGTTTGAGAAATGCGGTCGACCCCTTACAACACAATTTCTTCGGAATCAAAGGTAAAAAATGTGATAAGATTCTTGTGGCACGACACTTTCTTAACACGGTCCGTATACAACACAGTGTGAAAAATGCATTGTCTTATAACACCATTTTGTTAGACTACAGAGCAAAAAATGCCACAAAGTATTAAACGGGAAAAGAAAATGGGACACTTCCATAAACGATATTGTAATTAATCACGATTACACATAACGCTGTAAAACAAAGGTAGATCTTCCAGAACTCACGATTAATGAGGTTGTATACATATACTTAATGAGAAAGCTTGTATTAATCTTTTTACTATACTGTCTTAACAGGAATTCGCTACACTATTTCTGTTGAATTTGTAAGGATTTAGTTGTTTTTTTTTTGCATGTTTTGTCATGTCTTTGTTTGATACGAGCGGTGTCTAGCTCAAAGGCAAGTGCCGCGCTGGGGGCTGTGAACAACATTTGTGTTTTTGATTTGTTTAGTCTACCTATAGTGGTGGAAATAAGAGTAAGTAAAATTTGGTATTTTTAGTTTAGTCAGTAATAGATAGTAGTAAGCGCAACATGTATTGAAGTAGTCCCGTTTTCCGCATTTTAAAATATAAAAGTTAATTCTCGTTTTGATATCTTCGTTGTTTATTTTCAACAAAATAATTTCCCTTGGATTCAGTTCCAATTGAAAATTGTGTTAAGCGGAAATAGATTAATTGATTTAGTTTATATGCTTCTCAAATTACTTATATCTAACAATTAAATCGCAATGAGGTAGTGGTATTAAGACGACTAAATTTTGATTAAAAAGGATACGGATGTCGTACAAACTGGGACCGGGAAGAAAAATGTGTCGGGCACGAGTCTGTTATAAATTTTCTACGTGGTTCTTTTCCATATTTATTTTGAGTTCACTGAGCCGACCGAAGTAACCGACGGTAAATAACTGCTGCACTTAGCCTTCTAGATGTTAACGGTCGTAAATTAGTCCTCCGAGAAAAGACGGGAAAAGATAGGGACAGGAAACGAAGTGAGCAGCAAATCGCTTATTTATTTGCTGCTAAATTTCGAAAGAGACAGACGATGAATTAGTGGGTCGCTGCTACCCGTAATGAGGTCCTTTATAATTTTGAAATTTTCGAAATTAAGGAAAGAGACAAGACACGTCTTCACTTATTCCCTCTTTTGTTTTTAATTTGATTGTTCCATATCAATCTTCGTAAAAGTGATCTACAGAATTCACGCAAATAAAATATAAGGACTTACGGAAATAATAAAACTGATTCTTGCTGATGGGCGGATTTTTTGAAGTTATACTTCTTTAGGCGCGTTATGAAAAACTGATGAGAGTGAAATTTCAAGATGCGCGCGCATCACTGTAACACAAAATTAACAGGATGAAGTTGCCCACTCAACCGAATTCATTAAGTCTCGGAAAAAAGCTACCAACGAAATAGAAATAAAACCTCTCTTAGTCGCGCATGTTGGTACGCTTGTCGCCTCTGATCACTGTTTTCATATTTATTTATAATATTTATCCACATGGTTTTAGTTTTTACAGTCACAACACGTGTTTTATTTTCATACAAGTGCGAATTATATATGTGGCAATAAAATATATTCAGTAGTGATTTAAATTGAATATTTGGATTAATATTATTTACTATTTGTGAATATTAGTGAAAAAATTGTGCTAAAATACTTTTTTAAGTGCTCCAATATAATTGAGGTTAGTTATCCCTATGTATTATTTATTGATATAAATTAAAATATCATTATTTAATATAATTAATAAAAAATATTATTTAATGATGCCAAAGAAGTATAACTTCTCACGCGCGTACATAAGTACACGCACCCATTTTTTTTTTACTTTTTTTACTTGAAAATAAAAGAAAAAAAGAGTCGTCATGATTATACGTACCCGAAAGCATTTCCAGACCAATCTCGGTCCAAAATTTCATTAAATTTTCTTAAAAACAAATTCAACTCCAGAAAGTAATTTTTGAATAGTAGTTTTAAGTTTATAAGCAGAATAGAGACCCAGGCTGTAATTATTTACTAATATATAAATAACTTTTAGCCTAAATTCCGCATTTTTACGGGCATTTAGTTTTAAATCGCTTTTTTTTTCTCGTGTATCGCTGCTGAAGATGTCTAAGAGCTCTGTCGCATTCCATGCAATAATATTCCTATTCATATACAGTCGAACCTGGATTAACGAAAACTGGATAAGTGAGAAAACTCTATAAAAGACAAAAATAGTCAGGTGCCGTTATTTTAAGCCCTGAAAACCTCTGAGTGACAGTGTATGTACCGGATAATGCCTAGTTCCCTCACATATACCTGTTTTTAATTAGGGTTAAAATTTTCAGTACGTCGAATTTCCTCCTAATTATACATCAATTGCCTCCCAACGGCGGCGGATGACCTTGAGTGCTAACTGCCAATATAAAGTCATAAAGAGTTGTTTAAATACAGCCTCATATCACATATTAATGTTAATATTATTCACATATTATAGACACCACATCATCCTCATATTTATCAATTTGCCAATGTTTTACTAGATTTTCAATGTTTATGTTAAAATACGAAGTGTTTCATCTAATTTTAAAAAATTGTTAATAAGACAAACTAAAACTAATTAAGTATTTCTAGATGATTGCATCAAAAAGCTAGACGCACACGAATTTCCAAACATTGAATTTGTTAAGGTAGTGGGAAACCATTTTAAAATTAAATAACTAAACATTTCATAACTGATATGTGTTTTCTTTCTGAAATTATTGTATCTTTAATTTACTGAAGTACTGAAGTGCACTATAAATATATATTTATTTTCGATAAATAAAATCGGTAAGTAGTCGTTAACTTAATTATCGGAG